GTTGAAAGTAGTGTGTATTCATACTTTGTAGTGGCGGCTCTGGAACATTAAATACACGCCCATGCCCGTGCTACCCATTTCGTAGTACAATGATAACTCAGGAATCTTTTACATGTCCACAAAACACTCTGGAAGAATACAGAGCGATGAGACTATCTTATCCCGCAAGATTTCTCGCCCTGCCTCCGGAGTGTTATTGTCAATGATGATGCCACTATTTCACTTCATTGCAACTACGTTAGATGTCCAGTTATCTGTATTTATTGAAAACTGACCTGGCACAAATATTAAATATTCCCATAATTGTATAAATCATGAAAGGTAATTTCTTTAGGAGCAGCTAAATTTGTTTTTACATATTAATGTGTGAAAACATTGTTAAATACAACACGTGCCTCAATCAAACAAAACTAGTGCTGTTACAACATCATATACTACCTCGCATTATCTGTAACAACTACGCGATATTGCAATACTATATGATTCTGCAAAATTGTTTCTAACCAGCAAAACTCTCTCTCGTTTACATTATTTCGTGATCTAGTTTTAAGAAACAGATTTCATTAAAGGAAAAGTGTCTGATAATGGATATTGTAGGTATACAATGTCTGTTTTGGTCTGCAGTTTCTCAAAATAGAGAGAGTCCTCGATAATGGGACGAGAGTTATTAATTAGAGTCATTTGTTCTATACGAGGAACATTTTTTTCAAAAATTGAAGCCGTTTCTGAGTTTTTTGTATAAATTGCCTTTTCTTCAAGTAAACATTACGCAAAAAACTAATTTAATTAAAAATTGTACAGACCGTCTTTAAGTATCAATTTTTTGAACAGATTTCACTAATCAAAAAATCTGTCATTAATAAATTGTCCTTTTGCAATGTTAAATTGTTGCAACTTTGAAAAATAGTGAAAATTTGCCGATGATAGGACTTACGCAATTGAAGTGTCTGAAGCTCTATCTGATCTAAAATATGAAAGAATATAATTACTGAGAAATGAAAGAACATATTTGAGAAAATAAATGTTTAAAAATTGCCTCCTTGTTCTGCTCTTTATAATTGTTGACAGGAGTAGCAATATGATTAATAATTAAACTTATTAGGTAATAAAACCTTCTGATATGAAGTCTACCATTTGTCTGCTGTAGTAGCTGCAAAGTAGCGCTCTTTTGGAGCGAGACAGCCCCAGGGCAGTCAGCTCCGCGGCGAGTCAGGACGTGACGTAGCACCAAGTAGTCAGTAGGCAGCTGCCGCTCGATTAGAGAGAACCGTGGACGTGTTGGGGAGGCTGTTGGAGGGCTGGGAAGCTGTGTTGAGGTTGGGGACACACACTAGGTACCACGGTTGAACTTGGGGTTTTGTTGGTACGTGGTAAACTCACTAAAGGTGTGTTAATTGTGTATGAGAAATGAACTGTAGTGATTTACACTTGTTTGTGCCCCGTGTTGTGGATACTTTATATACTAAATATGTACCTCAGATTGAATTTCATCGTCCTGTTTGCTTTCATTTCCTAATATGTCACGATAATTCCCAAAAATCATTTTAAATGAATAAAGAATTTAATGAAATGTGTAATATTTTTTTCAAGACAAATATAATAATTTATCTTAACTAACCCGAACTAAAGTTTCCCCCGCGCCGTATGTAAGTGGGGAATAAAAATAAACGAACTTCCAATATTTTTATTACCAATTATTTAGGTTTTCAAATCTCTTTATCTTTGGTTTGGAACTAGACAGAAGGACACTAGTGGAATTATTAAAACTGTCAACGTTGTTAATCAATTTATTGGAATATTGTGAATATTTGATGAGTGATCTAATGATATTATTTTCAATCGGTTGGTTTAATTTCGTTTGTAAGTTGTTCTTAGAATGAAGAAGATAGTGATTTAGGAAATAATTTAATATTATGATGATAATGAATGTAACGATAAATCTTGAACTCCTATTGTTGAAGCTATGTGTGGAATTAAGAAATTTTCCTTGTACAGTACTAGTTTCATTGAAGAGAATAGGTATGTTCTGTTTTGATCTTCAGTAGGTGACAACTGCTGTAGTCTTTAACACTTAATCACTCATTGACACTTTGCGTTAAAGCTGAGAAACAAGGGTTTCTAAACCAGAAAATCTACTTGCATCTCTGCTTTCTGCACTTACTCCTACAATATTAAATGTCTGCGCTGTAGTATCATGTCGAAGTAATTTCAAAACATTCTGGTGTAGCTTCGAGGTCGAAGATCGACTTTCTGGAATTTCGCGCATGGCCTGGCGTCCGATTATTGTACGAATTCCTCGGTTTCCAGTTGGCGCCGTTCGCTTCTTCGGACCTTCCCCCTCACTGGGGCGGTCGCCTTCTGCCTCCCCACCCTCACCCCCTCCCTCCCCTTGCGCCCCGCCACCCACAAAAAAAGGAAGAAAAGGAAGGGAAATTTAACCGCGTTTTTTTTCAAATATGGGCTAATGAAGCAATAACGTTTTGGTATTAAAACTAGTGGTCCCAGCAGCAACGTATTATTTATAACTGCTCGGCTATATATAACTACGTCATAAACATGAAAAGGATTTTTTATTTATTTTTTTCAACGAGCGTAACTTTTCCGCACCGGGACTCAAACTCAGGTCTTCCGTGTTTACTCGAGGTTAACATTCTTTCAGGTTGTCTCTACGCTAAATGTGAAAACCTGATACACACGGGGATGTTCGGGTTCAGTGAAGATTTCTAAATACACTAATATTAGGATACATGTTTTTGAATTCCACAGAAATTGCTCAAACGTTGGAAGAAGAGAGATGTTCTGTTCAAATATTGTGCATTGATACCCAAATGAAATCAAATTATGCATGTTAGTATTTGAATGGCAAATGAAACTTGCGAACATACATGTGTTTGGAAATGAACATTTTGGTGAAATTGGCTTTCTTTTCGGAGCAGCTTCTGATGTGGTTGTGGTGGTGTGTTGCAGTGCAACGCGGCGGTGGGCGTGAAGGCCTTCTTCGACATGATGCACGGGCGGCCCACAAGCTGATGCTGTTCGGCGCGGCGTGCACGCAGGTCACCGACCCATCGCAAGGCGTCGCGGCGCTGGCACCTCACGCAGGTACGCGGCCAGGCCCCTCGCGCGGCCACGCCTTCTTAACGCCTGCCCGCTCGCCCGCTCGCCTCCGCCCCGTCCCCCGCCTGCGCCCCGCCTGCCCCGCTGCCCGCTCGCCCGCCTCGCCCGCCTCGCCCGCTCGCCCCGCCTCGCCCCCGCTCGCCCCCGCCTGCCCGCCGCCTCGCCCGCCTCGCTCGCCGCGCTCGCCCGCTCGCCCCCGCCTGCGCCCGGCGCCTCGCCCCGCCTCGCCCCGCCTCGCCCCACGCCTCGCCCGCAGCCTCGCCCAGGCCCTCGCCAGCCTCGCCCCGCCTCGGCCCGCAGCCTCGCCCAGCCTCGGCCCCAGCCTCGGCCCAGCCTCGCCGGCTCGCCCAGCGCCTCGCCCAGCTCGCCCAGCCTCGGCCCGCCTCGCCCCAGCTCGCCCCAGCCTCGCCCCAGCCTCGCCCAGCCTCGCCCCAGCTGCCAGCTCGCCCCCGCGCTCGCCCAGCTCGCCCCAGCCTCGCCCAGCTCGCCCCAGCCTCGCCGGCCAGCCTCGCCGGCAGCTCGCAGCGCTCGCCCATGCCTGCCCCAGCCTCGCGCAGCCGTCGCA